GGTGCGGCCGGTGGCGATGGAGAGGGGGATCGCGTTGTAACGGGTGGGTGGGTGGCACCGGAGAAGGGGGGGCGTGTTATAAGAGGGGGGGGGCGTATGGGAGGGGTGCCGCTGGGGGGGAGAAGGGGCCGCGCTATAGCCGGGGGTGCGGGGAGGGGGCGCGCCGGACCCCCGGCACGTGCAGGAGGGCGATGCTGGGGAGCACCGGGGCGGCGGCCCCGGGACCGGGCGGGGGCACTGGGGTGCGCTGGGGTCTGGGGGATGCAGCCCGGGAGGGGGGTCCTGGGACACAGCCCCGGGACCGGGGTGCGCCCCGCTCCGTCCCCCCCGCCGCACCGGGATGCGCCCCGGCTCCAGGGACGCGCCCCGGCTCCGTCCCACGCCCCGGCACCGCTTCGCTCCCCCGCGCCCCCCGCCCGCTTTAGGATCCCCAGCTCCCCGCCGTGCTCTTTCTCTCGCTGCCACCGCGTCCCCCGCCCCATCCCCGCGTCCCTCCGGCCGCCTCCCACCCACGGTCCCACCGGGAGCCCGGTGCGGGGCGCGGCCCCGCATGGGGGGATTTGAGGGTCTCCGGCGTCACCCCCGTGCTCGGGGCTGCGCTCCCGGGAAGCGGCACCGTGGGGCTGCCCGCGCTGGCGAGGAGTGGCCGCGGACCCGGGTCCCCTCTCGGTGGCATCCTCGGTGGCTTCTCCGGCTCCCGGCGCGCCGGGATGTTCCGGTGGCGGAGCCGGTGCCGCTCCCGGAGCAGCATCGCCGGGATGCGGGTGCTGGAGGAGCCGTCGGAGCGTTCCCCAGTGCGATGCCGCATCCTGGGGACACTGCTGTGTCCCCCCGGGGTGTTGCCCGCGCCCACCCCAGGCACTGGTGGTACCGGGGGTGCCTTGTCCTCCCACCATCTCCGGAGCCCGTTGGGCAGTGGGTTTTGCCCCGCTACCCCCAGCTGTGGGGTGGCCCAGTTACAGTAGCGAGGAAAGGACATGGGTTATCCCAAAACCACCCAAGTCCCCATGCTGGGGAGGGTCCCCTCCCCTGCGCTGGGGGTGGGGGCTGCACCAAACCTCCCCGTTCTATAAGAGGCAGCTGGCTCCGGGGCTGGGGGACAGCCTTGGAGAGTCGCAGGGGGACACTCCTGGGGTGACAGCAGGTGGTGTTTTCCATCCGCCCTCGGGGATTTCAGCTGAAATCCCGAGCCTTGGGATCATCCCGCGGCTCCAGAGCCCCTGTGCCACCGAGCCAAAATTTATCCCAGGGAGGGTGAATCGCCCTCCTGTCCCCCCCCCTTCCCCATTCAAATAAGAGTAATGATTAATAGTGTCTGTGCTTCCCCAGGAGAATCCCATTCCAGTCCCTCCTGGGGAAGGAAATGGTGCAAATGTGGGATAAGGGGAACAGTGCAGGTGTAGAGGTGACACCTGTGGGAGGGGTATCAGCATCTGCAGGGACAGGGATGGGTGCTAAACCCCCTGGGGGCAGGGGACACCTCCGTTTTTGAGGTGTTCTCCCTCTCCAAGTCCCGGGAGGCTTTGCTCCTGCAAAAACACTTGCTGCAGCTGGGAGGAAAAAGCAGTTTTGGGTGAGGGGTTCCAGCCCTTCCTCTGAGTGAGAACACCCTGCAGAGTGAGAGGCTGTGCACCTGTAGTGTTCCCTGTCCTCTTTCCAGGCAAACCCCCTCCGGAATTTGCAGGGTGTGTTCCCCATGGGCACTGGTGCTTCTGCTCCTGCCCGCAGCTCCCACTGTCAGCCCTGATCTCAGCTCTGCTTGGGCAGGGTGAAATATCATGGAGTTATATCATTTTTCTCTATCAAGTGTGTTTTGGGGATTGTGCAGCTGTGCCAGGCTGGGGGAGCTGTTTGTGTGACCTGAGGGTTCTGCAGGGGGACAGAGCTGCTTGTCCCTGTGAGAGCTCTCAGTGAGGGGAAATGAAGTTGGACCTGGGTGCTGGGCACAAAGGCTGTTGGGTTCGGCAGGGCAGGGCATGTACCGATATACAGGGACCCTCCTGCTCTTGCCAGGGGGATGGTACCCCCCTCTGCACACCCGACAGTGGGAAAGCTGTTAATTGTTCCCTGCCAGATTGACTTATAAATTAACGGGTTTGCTGGCACTCTCCTCCTCCTTCCTGTGCGTGGTAAGGGCCCATATTTCAAATGGGAAAAAGTCATAAATACTTTGAGTAATGCAAGAGGAGCTTCCAGCTGAAGCTGTGCCACCGAGGGATGTGGGGGGGAGAGGGGTCTCCTGCAGCAGAGCCGTTCGTACGCTTGGGCACGGGGTGATGGAGGTGACGGGGCAGGAGGCCCTCGGGTTCTTTTTTAGTTGTCTTCTGGCATTGGCCTCACTGGCAGGACGGGGTTGGGTCCTCTGTGCCCTCCAGGTCTCTGTTGCCCTGTTCCCTGCTGCTCACAGGGTTGAGAAATGTAGGTTTGGTAAACGAAGCCTCTTCCTGGGGTGTCTCTCCATCTCATCCCGAGGGGAGTGGGTTTGCTCTGCCTTTTTCTGGATGCTGAGGAATCATTGGTGTGACGCTTTCCATAAGGAGAAGAGGAAAATTGTGCCTTTGCTCTTTCTCCAGGAGGGTGGATTCCTGTTAGACCCTTCATTCTGCTGCTGCTTTGCGAGGAGAGGTGGGAATGAGGGTGAAGAGATACCTGAAGTCGCCCTTTGGCCACACACTGGGGAAACTGAGGCTGGAAGGGTTTGTGGTTCCTCACAGCACAGGGACAGCTCCTGCTGCCAAGGAGCCACCCCAAGGGCTCGGGCCATATTTAGGGACCCCAGAGCTGTATTTGAGGTGGGAGACTCCCACTTGACGCTGCTTTGAGGTCTGTGTTGAGGTGGATGCTCTCGACAGTGCCTGGCGGGGCGGTTCACTGGGATTGCACTGGGTGAAGGGCCCATCCAGCTACTCCTCAGTGTGGAGTAACTCCAGGTAGTAAGTGCATGTTGAACTGTTTATGCTCCTTCCACGTGGCAGAGGTTGCGTGGGTGGCGAGCGGAGCTGCCGTGAGGGATGCGAGCCGTGGCCCGTGGCCTCGCGCCGCACGTGGGTTTGATTTGAACTCGCTCTGTTCCCCACTAAAGCGGTTTTTCTTTTGCATTGCAGAGATAAAATTGCGAGTGTAGGAATCCGAGATAAAGCGAAGGCAGATCTAACCCGAGTCAGTGTGGGCAGTGCGAGCGGATGGTAAGGAGAGAGGTTATTCAGTTGCATTAAAAAGATGCTGCTAAGTAGTTTAATCCACAGTTGCTGAACTTTGAGCTTTAAATTCTTCTTATATGAGTTGATAAGAACATGCATATTATTCATAACTCTCTCCTCAAAAAAAAGGAAAATCTGCAAATGACTTCTGTTAAGTATCATTGCTTCAGCAGCGTGAAAAATGTGCCTGACTTGTACTTCAAATAATCCCTTCCCTTGGCCCAGCTCCCTCCATCCGTGAAGCTCTCGGCTTCCTGCAGAGGACAGTGGGAGTGGGGTCAGGAACTGGGGCTTCACTCTGGGGTGGTGACTCCAGGCAGGACCCCCAGAAGAACATACATTTTTTTTTTTTTTTTTTCAGATTTGCAAAGTGAAGAAGCTGTCCAGGCTGGGCAGCTTCTGGCTATCTCAGTATTGGTTTTGAAAAAATTGTGGTCGATTTTAAACCCATGAGCCCTGAAGTTGTAATGCTCGGGCCGGCTTCCTTCCTGCAAAGTTTATTACACAATAAGCTGAAACAATCTGGAGGCTCAGTTTGTTAGACCTTTTATTTTTTTGCTCTTGTCCTCTCTTTCTGATTATTTGCTTTATAACTTGACCGATTTTTTTTTTTTCTTTTTTTTCTGCCTTGACATCGGCCTGGCAAACTGGAAATTGTCTTTTATTTTCCCCATCCTTCAGCTCATAAACCCTCTAGACTTCTGGGTCTGATCCAACATAATTCTTTTGGAATTTTTTTTATTTTTTTTTTTTTTCCAGCTTGGGTATCACTGTCTCAGCTTAGTAATTTATCGAGCTTGGCGTTCCCTTTGCAATAGCTGCCTGTGCTGTCGGATTATTTGTTTGTCTGACAAGCCCGTGTCCTGCACAGATGGCCGTGTCCCACTGCAGCCCCAGCATCCTCCAGAAAAAGGAATTTCCAGGGCCGTGTTGCCTCCTTGACATCACTCCGTAGGGAGCTCGTTGGGAGGTGTGAGATTCTTTAAACTTTATTTATTTTATTTTTTCTTTTTTTTAAGCCGTGAAACCCCTTGACTCCCGTCCTCCCACCAGCTCCCGAGGGCAGGGGCTGGGTGCAGCTGCCCAGGGAAGTGCTGCTGTGGCAGAGGAGTGGGATAGGGATGCAGATTCCCCCTGGTATGTCCGGGTGGGAAGGGCTGTACACACACCTGAGCTCTAAAGGAGGTGCAGAGCTGAGGTGTTTAGGGATGCTCTGCGCTCTCTGTGGAGACAAAGGAGCGATGATGAGGGTGAGACAGCCCAGGGGACACACCAATACCCAAAGCTGGGATTTCTCCCTGCTGCTGGAGCTTGCTGGCCCCTCAGTGACGTGTCCCCCACCATGGAGAAGCGAGGCTTTGCCACATCCTAAACCTGCCGTGGCCCTGGGCTATTTGTGCCTCACCTGGGTTTGTTCACTGTGAGCATAGAAAGCTTTGGAGATGATGGCCTTTGTGCAGCTCCTGCTGTGGCAGTGTGGGGTTTGGGAGCCCTGTGTTGTGGGGATGACCAACCCTGGGAGAGATGGGGTTTTAGCCTCCTCTCTTCCATGTGTTACTATCAACCAGTAACACTGATGCAGCGTGAGTGTCGTCGTACAACTAAGGATCCATCAGGGCGTCCATGCTCCACTTCCCTGGCAACATTTGCACAGTTTGAGAGCTGCTCTAGATTGGAGAGCAGATATTAGTTTGCCTAAACAGGTTTAGAAACCTGTCAAATTAAACTGGGCCAGGCAACTCGTACAATGTGCACACCTAAATTGGTTTAACATTTGCATAAATCAGATTAAATCGGGGCTGGTGGGGTGGTTTAGGTTAGGAAGCCTGTGGCTGTTTGTGCCCAGCTCCTGGAGGTCTCTGCTCCTGCTGCCGTGTCAGGGCTGTTTTTGCAGAGCAGCAGCTGAATCCCACGTTTCCAGCCCTGTTTTGTAGGTGAGTGCTCTGTCAGTTGTGGTTTACACCGGACCAGGGGGCTGCGGTTTGGCTGTGACTTCGCGAGCACCTGCACGGGGACATCCTAACGGAGGAGGAAACCTGAGGGTCCAGTGATTTGGAAGGTGGGAGGGTGAGTGCCAGGTTGGGCATTCGGATCAGGGCTGATTCGGCTGTGGCCACAGTTTGCAACACACTGTGGGGCTTGCAAGAAGGGTGTCTGTCTCCAGGTGGGGGAAAGGGGTCTTTAAACCTCTTGGGATTTGAGTAGTGAAGTATTTGTGTGGGAATCTGTGCATGGGGAGCACAATGCCTGGGGGTCCTGCCTCTCCCACTGCTGTCTCTCCATATCAGTCTTGGAGCACCTGGGACACGGTCTGCAGGGATGTGATGGTGGGAATGCGTCTGGTGACCTGCTTCTGAGCGTTGAGCTTCCTCTAGTCAGCCTGTTTACGAGCACAACAGGTAAGCTGCTCTGCTCAGACCTCAGGAATGGTTCGCTCTCTGTCGCTTGCTGCTGTGCTCCTGCCAGGTGGGGGTTTACAAGGAGGAGGGGTGAGTTGAGATACATCAGATCCTCACTCCAGAAATGCCCTGTGCTTTTACCTAATGCTGTTTTCAGGGGTTTCCCCCACTTTCACTGCTGTTTGTGGGCAGTGACACGTGATGGGGTGTGGAGTTACACGGAGTAACTGCTCACTCTGGGTGCAGAAGGCACAAGGCTGGGGGCAAAGTGCTCTCCATCTTCCTGGCACGGAAACACCCAGCTGGGATGGCACACAGCAGGCAGGAGAGGGAGGACATGGCGTGTGTGTGTGGCTTCTCAAACTGCAATAATCCCATGTGGGGGAAAATAGCTGCCTCGTCTGGAATTCAGCGCTGTTGTCTCTGTGGTGCTGGAGTTGAATCCCACTATCTTTCCCTCTGATCTGTTGCTTAATTGTTTTCATTGTGGTGTCCCTGTATCCAAATCAGTGTTGTGAGTAATTCCACAACTGATTTAAATCTGAAAGGCCCTTTCCTTAAAAGTCTTGACCGTGCTTCCCTCCATTTTGCTGTTGAGGAGACAGCAGCGATGGACACGCTGCCTGCTTCCCTTCCGAGCTGCAACGCACGCCTGTGTGTGTGCAGCAAAACCTGCAGGAATTCGGGATTTATATGTGTTTTTTTTTTTAAGCTAATCATCAGCTCTGACATCACCAAGTGTTCGCTCTGGTTCCTGGGAATCATAGATGGGTGCTGCTTCGGGCTTGCACTGATCAAGGTTTCCCTCCTGCTGTGTCTCTCCTTTGTTTCCCCGAGGTGCTGTCGCTTGCTGGCAGTGACTCTGACTCTTTCCCTCCCTGGGCTGTGGAGGTAGCTGGAAACTGAGCAGCAGTTTCCACCTCACCACACGAAGTTCTTGTGTCCAACGTGGTCAGGATACGCGGGAAGCAAAGGCGATGGGCAGAGCTGTGTCCTGCTGGGAGCTCCGAGGTGGGGTTGGCAGATGGGGACTGAACCCTCCTTCCCTCCCTGCAGGAAGGGATGTGCCCGGGGCTGAGGGATGGCCCTGGGTGGGCAGGAATGGTGACCCAGAAAAGGATTTGGAGTGAAAGCGCATCAAAGGCTTTTTGGCAGGGCCTGATGTGATAGGACAAGAGCAAAGAGTCTTAAACTAAAGGAGGGTTGATTTAGGTTAGATTTACGGAAGAAGCACTTTACAGTGAGGATGGGGAGGCCCTGGCACAGGTTGCCCAGAGAAGCTGTGGCTGCCCCATCCTTGGAAATGTCCAAGGCCGGTGCAAACCAGGTTACGAACCAAATGGTGTTTCCGTCCACCTGGCCCTGGCACGAGGTGGCCAGCAGCGTCAAGGACCTCAAATCAACCCTGTGGCATTTTGCACTGGACCATCACGAGCCGCAGCACTGGAGCCTCCCAGCTGTGTCCTCCCCTCCAAGTCGCCATTTTATTTTTCTTAAACATTTATGTATAACCGTACGCTAACCTATAAAAATTAGTTTAGGATGGCTGCCAAGAAAATCTCTGCGGTGCCTTGTGGGTAACTCCCTGTGAATTACCATAAAAGCTGTAGTGTGAGGCTGCGGTGGCAGTTGTGAGGATGCCAGTCATCATGCTCTGTTATTTAAAATTCAGATGAATGTGTAATGCCTCCGTGGCTGGATTGCAGCAGCTCGGAGCCTTCCTGGTGTCCCTGCCCCACGAGCTCTGCGCCCACTCTTGTCTCTTAATGCCGTCTTACGTTCCCCCAGCATTTTGCCCGATTGTAAAATGCAACAGGTAGCAAACCGTGGGCAAGCCACGCTGGGAGAGAGAGAGAGTGGTTTCTGATAGCTTCCTCCCAGGAGGGACCAACCTCCTGCTTCCACTGAGCCGGCGGCGATATTTCACTTCAGGGAAAAAGCCTCTCCGTGACCCTTCGCCTCCACATCCTGCACGAGCCTCGGCCCCTTTCCGAGGGCTCCCTGTTTCTGGGTGTGCTCCACGCCAGGACCCAAACTCCTACCACCGTGCATGGGAGATGTCTCACTGCCACGCTGGAGAAGGCTGCAGTCCCCTCCCCAGTGAGCCAGTTCGTGTTGCCGTTTCCCCTCTGTGCCCTTGGAAATCCAGAGTGCTTCTCTTCTCCCGCTGCGCTGCTTTCCCTCCCTCTGGAGCTGCGAGCCAAGGTGACTGTGGGGCTCCAGAGCCTCCCTGCTCGGCGCCGTGCTTGGCAGAAGGTGGTGCTGATCTGCTGGGCATGATGGATCATTTCATTTAAATTTTTCTGAAATGTAATATTCGTCTTGGTGTCACTGTCCCACCTTCATTATAGCTCACCGATAAACATCTCTAATCTTGAGAGCGATCCTCACCCTGCCAGACACCGCCTGGGAATAATGAGCACGTCTCTGGAGCCGGGAGAAGGCGTCTCGGGGATGTGTCCCTGCTCTCCTAGCCCTGGCCAATAAATAAAGCAAGAAGCGAAATCTGTTTTTCCCAGGTGTATTTGCATGTGGCTGTTTGGTTCAGGGCTCTAAAATGGTGGTGACTGGATGTAACCTGGCGTCCTCGTTAGTGTCCAGCAGGGATTTCTGAATGCAGCCCCTGCCCTGCCTGTGGCTGGGGGTTTGGGGCAGCACCCCAATGAAACCCCCCCCACAGAGCAGCTGGGCTGCCTTTTCTGCACTGTGGTAAATCCCTGCCACTCTCCTGGATGGATTTCAGCAGGAGGGGATGCAGCCTTTTCCCTTGGCTCTCCTGGGGTGCTGGGGCGGCGATGGCCCTGCCTGTGGCCAGGCATGTGCCACATACTGTTTCCCCTTCTCCCTGCGAGTCCAGAGCAAGCACAGAGGCTGGCAGGACCCCACCCAGCCCCAGGAGTGGTTCAACCATCAGCAATTCAGTGGGATCCTGGGGGGACAGGCTGATTTGGGACACGCAGCACAGCTAGAGTGGCCTCTGCCTCCCTGCACTGCCGGCATCCTGGGACCATCCATGGGAGAGCTGCTCATCTCATTCCTCTCCTGCCTGGTTTTACGCCGAGGAGGAGCTG